CTGGCAAAAGTGGCTGTGACCTTCACCCGCAGTTCTTCTGCCTCTGTCTCAGCCAGCTTGTTGTTCCTAATGGCTGTCTCTGTGGCTGTAATGAAGTCTACCACAGGGATTTGTTTGGGTGTGACCGCAAAATTCAATCCCTTGGCTAATACCTCTTTTTCTGTGTCTGTGAGTTCTCTGTCCAAGAGATTTTTGACCCATTTGTCATGCAATGGTTGTGGGTTATGCTCATCCTTTCTCCTCCAACCAAGGACATCTGAGGCTGGCTGTCCATTCTGTAGTCTCTGGAATTTAACCATTTGGCGAAACTTGCTCTTGTTATGTTGGGTAAGTTGTGCCTTTTCCATGAAAGTTGAGATCTCCTGAAAGATTTCTCTGGTAACCTTAGTGGAGAGTCTCCTTACTAGTTGCTCTGTTTGGTCCATCAGGTTGTCTATAGTGAAATGTACAGTATTTGTCGAATCCTTTCACTTCAAAGGACTGAAACACCACCGAGGGGGATAAATATTTCCAGCTCAACACCAGTCAGTCAGAACTGATGAAGCCTCTTGGATGAGAGGTGAAACGTCTTCGATCTAGAAATCTAAGTCCAGTTGATTTTTTCTAAGGTTTTTTCAGTTTACCTGATGAGCAAATAACAGATGGATGAAGGAGCTGATGATGTGACTGTTCCAGCTTCACACTCGGTGTGCAGGGTTGGTGTCCCACAGTCCGACCCAAGTTGTGACTTTTTATGGGACCCACCTCAGAGAATGTGATCTGAAATGGACCTACACCATTACTGTTGCTGCACAGCCCAGCTCTCCTTAGACACTCCTTTGTCTCAGTGGTCGCTGGAGCCTTAGTTACTTCTCTTCATGTTGCCCAGATGTTGATGAAAGTCAAAACTTAAAAGGCGTGTGTTCACTGAGCTTCAGTGCTCCTCCTTTTAACTCCAAGTGTGTGAGCGTTTGCTGTGCTGTCTGGACATGCCCTGCAGAATACCACACAGACACTGCATGTGCAGCTTTTCTCTTAATGCTTGTGTCCTGGGAGTGAAGTTTCCTTCATGCTTCTGCTTGGGGGGCACTTTAAAGCTGCACAGTGGACATGAGCAGGTTGTTCCACAGTGCTGGTCTGAGGAACCATGCAGAGCAGTAGACCGGTAAAGTAATGCCGTGATAACATCACCTATACAAGACAGAAGTCAGTTGTTTGTGGGGGGGGGGGTTCATGTTCCCTGAGTGACAGCCAGATGAGTTCACATCATCCTTGCCACCTCATTCAGATGCAGATTATTAGTAAAAGGCCTGGTTTAGCTCCATGTTCTCTGTGCACGTGCCTGTGGGTCATGAACAACCTGATTCTGTGATTTTACAAGTTGATGAGGAAGAAGCGAACAAAGCATCATCTCCCACACCTTACAGCTCATCTGCTGCCTTTCCATTGGCCACTGGCTGCTCCTCCTCTTCCTGTTGCCTGTGTCTGTTGAAGAAGCCGAGCTGAGAAGAAAACACAGATTTCAGCTTTGACTAAATGATCAACTGCCCGTCATATGGCTATGTGACAACAAGCAGCCAGTCAGAAACACACCAGATCCACTAAACCCAGTTCTACTTACTGACCCCGACCCCTGATCAGAAGTAAGTATTAACACACTTTTGTTATTTTACAGAAAAATACATTTGTAGATGTCATTTTTAAGGATTTCAACTAATCTGTGTGAAAAACACTGATGATACAGGGGAACACAGGAGCAGTCGCACTCTGCCTGGACACACTCGCCATCTGTGTCCCCACAAAGAATGAAAATGCTGCATATATGTGTGTGTGTGTGTACCTTCCACAGGGCCACGACCAGTAAGGCCAGTAGCAGCAAGCCTCCCAGCAAGCTGCCTAGTATAATCCAGACTGGGATGGTAAAGTCCTCCTCCTTCCTGAGCTCCAGGATGATCTGCACCCACAACAGAAAGAACTTGAATCATTTCATAGACCATCTCACTTCAGAGACCAACCCAACCCAGGTCACCTGGTTTCCTAAAAAAGAACTTATGACCTGACCTCATGTTAGACACAACATCATGTGGCTTCAGAGCCAGTGGAGAGTGTTGTTGGAACCGCGTGGGGTTGAGCGTGTCAGCAGCACAACACAACATGTTACACAGTACATGGTCCTCTCATTCTGGGATGCTGAGCAGATGCAGGGATTAGTCCAAGTTGCTGTGGTGAACATGAGGCCAGACCAGCTCCCACATCAAAATGCTTTACACAGGGTTCAGTAAACCTACATTTAAGTTAAGGAATAAATGATGTACTTCCAAAAATAAATGAAAAGTACACACATACTGTAAATGTGCATACGCAGAGACCCAGACATGTACTTGAAACATTACAAAGACTAAATCAAAGTGGTGAAAACACAACATCAGAAGGAAACGCCAGCTAAATTTCTCTGGCAGAGTTTCAGCCAAAACAACACGGGCAGCACGTGCAGAGGGTGGAATGTACAAACGCAATATTAAAACTGTCCAAACAGCTCCAAGCTCCATAAAGGCAGGACTGGCTGCTCTCATGCTGCAATAAGTTTCTGCTATTTTGTCCTTTGCACATGGGTAGGCGTGGTTACGCTGTTGTACAGCACGTTCAGTGACAGTGAGTGTAATGACGATCTTTAACAGCAGGTGGCTTCAAAGTTCTACATCAGTGTTCACGCCCTTTTACTGCTGCCCAGTTTACTGCAGTGAATCAGACTGCCGTGTGCTCCTCATCGGCCTACTGTCAGTAACCCACAGCCACAATGTGAAAACTCGTTTTTAAATGTTTTTTTACAAACTGATCTTTCCCCTTACAAAAACCTCCAGAGCCTCCGCATGAGGCTCCAGACTCTGCTCAGGTGCATCCAGTTGAGATGAGGCTAGAACCTGACTGGAGTCCAGCTGTGGCAAACTGGGCCAACTGCACAGAGTGTAGAACGACACACAGCTGTGTGTGTATAAGGTCCCATAGTTCACACTACAGGTCAGGATGCAACCCAGAACATGATGTCCAGGAGCTCTTTGTGGACCTCTGTGGTCAGACTGTGGTCAGATCAGGACCAGGGGGACTGGACCATGTGTAAGGCTCTGAGTGTCCCCAGGAGCACAGTGGCCTCTGTGACTGGGGCGTGGGAGAAGAAATAGTCGTTTTCCCCATTCTCTCTGCTTAGCTACAGAGTGGTTCTGTTTGTGTCTCAGCAAGAGATAAACCACACACAAGTAATCACAGACTAGTCTAGAGTGAGTTCAGTCACTAGCATAGTCACTGACGAGTCAGTGTAGTACAGCAGAGTCGTACCTGTCTGACAGGTCTGTCCTCCTGCAGGAACATGGGGCTGGAGGTATCCAGCTGGATGGAGGCAGCACTCAGTAGCTCCAGAGACCTGAAGCTCACCTGAAATAGGCAGTCAGTCAGTCAGCTGTTGCTCACAGAGGTAAAAGAAACATGAAACACCTGTGGCTCCAACACTCAG